GATGCAGAAACCTAACCAGTCATTGTGGGCTCCTCAGTTCCTGAGACACAGATACCTGAATCCAGCAGCTAATGAAGGTCTCTGAAGCGAAGGCTATCAGAAGGGGATGCCCTTCTTCCTGTTGTGAAGGAAGTTCTAGACTTGTTGTGCATGGCTAAATCATGACAGATGGGTTTCCTTCATAGCATAGTTTGTAAATCAAAAATTCTTTAAAGCAAGTATTCTTGCAACCACGGACTTGAATTTTTCTTATGGTAATAGTCCTAGCTAAGACAATTCCTTAGGCGAAGGAGCAGATGTTGGCATTTGGCCCTCCTTTGTATAAAGAAAACAGGAATTGGGTGGTAGATATGAAAGAGATGGATGATAAATTTTTTGTTTGGCAATCTCTACTGCATGTTTGCCCTGTAGTCTCTGTTCCCAGAGTATGCTGTAGGCGTCACAAAGGAGTATGGACATCTGTCATGGAAGAGAAGAACAAAGGCACAGAGAAGGGGTGAAAGGAAAAGAGAGAGAAAGAGGAAGTAGAGAAGCAAATTCAGATGGCATGGCAATTGTTGCTTAATTTTCCTTTGCGTTCCATTGCTGTTAAAACAGGACAGAATTCTCTTGTGAGTCATGATAGGCAAACATTTTTTTTTCATTATCAGATCTAGTTCTTGTTTTGCATATTGGTTAAATGTGAAGCAATGAGCTCAATGTCTTAGAGATATCATGGGAGATATAGCAGATCCATTACAGGCAACAACATTACAATTTACTTAATTTCTAAGTAAATCTGGAAGAGTGAGAAATTACCCTTCTGTCTTATTCCAGCCTAATGTAAACAAAGATACATTAGGCAGGAAAGAGCCAGCAGTCCTTTGCACTATAAAACTTTGTTGTTCATTCGTTCAGTCGTCTCCGACTCTTCGTGACCTCATGGACCAGCCCACGCCAGAGCTCCCTGTCGGCCGTTACCACCCCCAGCTCCCTCAAGGTCAGTCCAGTCACTTCAAGGATGCCATCCATCCATCTTGCCCTTGGTCGGCCCCTCTTCCTTTTGCCTTCCACTTTCCCCAGCATAATTGTCTTCTCTAGGCTTTCCTGTCTCCTCATGATGTGGCCAAAGTACTTCAACTTTGTCTCTAGTATCTTTCCCTCCAGTGAGCAGTCGGGCTTTATTTCCTGGAGGATGGACTGGTTGGATCTTCTCGCAGGCCAAGGCACTCTCAGAACTTTCCTCCAACACCACAGCTCAAAAGCATCGATCTTCCTTCGCTTAGCCTTCTAAGGTCCAGCTCTCACATCCGTAGGTTACTACAGGGAATACCATTGCTTTGACTAGGCGGATCTTTGGTTGCCAGTATGATGTCTCTACTCTTCACTATTTTATTGAGATTGGACATTGCTCTCCTCCCAAGAAGTAAGCGTCTTCTGATTTCCTGGCTGCAGTCTGCGTCTGCAGTAATCTTTGCACCTAGAAATACAAAGTCTGTCACGGCCTCCACGGTTTCTCCCTCTATTTTCCAGTTGTCAATCATTCTTGTTGCCATAATCTTGGTTTTTTGACGTTTAGCTGCAACCCGGCTTTTGCGCTTTCTTCTTTCACCTTGATTAGAAGGCTCCTCAGCTCCTCCTCGCTTTCGGCCATCAGAGTGGTGTCATCTGCATATCTGAGGTTGTTAATGTTTCTTCCAGCAATTTTCACCCAGCTTTGCATTCATCCAGCCCCGCACATCGCATGATGTGTTCTGCATACAAGTTAAAAAGGTTGGGTGAGGGTATGCAGCCTTGCCGTACGCCTTTCCCAATCTTGAACCAGTCTGTTGTTCCGTGGTCAGTTCTTACTGTTGCTACTTGGTCCTTGTACAGATTCCTCAGGAGAGAGACAAGGTGGCTTGGTGTGCCCTATCCCACCAAGAACTTGCCACAATTTATTATGATCCACACAGTCAAAGGCTTTAGAATAGTCAATGAAAACAGAAATAGATGTTTTTCTGAAACTCCCTTCCTTTCTCCATTATCCAGCGGATATTGGCAATTTGGTCTCTCGTATAAAACTTTAGGGAGACTATTTTCCATGGTCTTTGACTTGGAAGGCTGCAAACCAGCCCAAGAGGTCCCCACATATCTAGCACGGGGAATTTGATCACTAGCTGAGGGATAGGATGATTTTGGGTGTTCAGTACTACCACTGGTTGTGAAGGACAGCTGGACCTCACCAGTAAAAGGACTGGAATGCGTTTCTGCACTGTACCGTCTGCTTCATCATTTACCAACAATACAGCTTATGCTATAGCAATAAATATGCGTCAGTGTTGGGGACTAAAAGAACCCTTGGAAAGGTCTGAAACTTCACATAGTTACAGCCTGAGACAGTGACTTTGGGAAACTCTCATCCTCTTAACTTTGGGGAAGGCAGTTGTAAACCTTCTCTGAATAAATATTTGCCATGAGAACTGTATGATAGGGTTACCATAAATTACAGTTGACCTGAGGATACACAACAGCAACAGCAACAACCCCAGGATAGCTCCTTTAAAGTCTTGATTATCCCCTGGAATGGATTCATCGCCCTACTGACAATGGAAGGCATCATCTGCCATTGATGTTCTGGCTGCATTTCCTAGGTTGGCTGGGGTCACTCTCAGCAATACAAAAGGCACATGCTGTGGTGACGTGCTGGCAAGCCATCCTTCAGCTACACATCTCTTTGCTGGGCCAATAATTCTAAGGATCAGACTGTAAGTATGTTTGGATGACAGCTTAAAGGATTTTCAGCCTGAAGCTTTCAGACTTAAAGGAGTGCCTATTGCCAACAGCCTTGTTCCTTCCAAAATGCTGCATATTTAGGTCACCAGCGTGATCACCTAAGAACACTGTGATATAGCCAATGCAGGAGGAACTTTGCTTTCATGCTGACAAATTGGTAAACAGAACTATAAAAATCCCGTACTTATTTTCCTCTTAAGAATAATATCATTGCTCACATCCAAAGTGGCTGCAATAAAATTGCCTTTTGCCTTATGAAACTTAATCCTGCAATAAACCTGTTAGGTTGCAACCCTGAAGATCTTCCCTAGTTAAGTTTATTTCTTGTTATTATGTGTGTGACACAGTGTCAAACACTGCTGCGTGGCTAGTTCAGTGGTTACCCACACAAACATATATTGCCTTCCCTGAATATCATAAGAAAGCATCTTGCCTTCTCTGAATTCCAGTAAGAAAGTGGAGCTGTTTTTGTTTTTCTTGTCCATCTAAATGCTTTTGGTCCCATTCAGGAGAAAGGCAGGACAGAAATTAAATAATACATAAAATAAAAACAATACAGTCAGTCCCTGAGTTACAAACATCAGGCTTACAAATGACTCATAGTTAAGAATGGAGGCGAGACAACAGGAAATGAGAGAAATCTACCCCTCAGAAGGGAAATGGACTCCTGAAAGAGTTTTCATGGATAAATGGTGTCTCCACTGAAGCTTTTTCACCAATCCTTGTTTCCACAACAAGCCAAAATTTTCAAAATTCAATTATCACGGGGACAGAAAATGAGGTGAAATCTTCTGAACAAGACACAGACAGAAAAAAACAACACCACAGTGGTGTTAACCCTTCCCTATGCTATCCAAAGCTAAATATGTATATGTATAGGTAAAGGTTTTCACCTGACATATGTATAGGTAAAGTTTTTCCAGTCGTGACCAACTCTGAGGGTTGGAACTCATCTCTCCACACTTGAAAACTGGTATGAAGGGTGGTCAATGTGTTTTTAAAATGCCAGATGAAAAAGTATTTGAGGTGAACACAAGGCAAGCTAAATAGTACACTTTTTGCAGGGGTGTTCCTCAACTGATGAAAGATACCTGTTTATCTCAGCACATTTTTACCTACATATATTTCATTTAGCCTGCTTTGTCTTACGGTTGTCATTGGAAGGTGAATACAGGCATAATTTGCAAGTCTGCTGAGACACATATCTTTGAGGAGATCCTGTTGTGGAGGGGAAGTGGGTTAATGTTAGGAAATGTACAGTTAACATTGAGTTTGAACTGCAGTAAAGATGGGAGATGATGTGTATGGGGGATACCAAATTTCACTGTAGCCCTATTAATGCATTCAATTAAGTGGGTTGCCAACTTGTGAGTTACTCTCACATAGATCTGCTTCTGATTTTACATTGGTGATGTAGAGCTCCAGAGGACACATGCAGCACAAACAACATTGTGGAACAAAGCACATCCCACACCCAAAGGGCAGCGGGGAAGCTACAATCTATTCCATGGTTAACTGTGGATATGTGCAAAAAGGCTGAACCAGTTCATGGAATCCCATCTAAACAAGCAAAAAATCTGGCAAAGTAGCATGGATTACTGTCCTCCTTTAATCAGCCCACTTGATTTCCATGTTGATCTTTCTCCATGGCACACATGGAAATATAAAGTACTTTCATTGGCCTTATAGTAAAGGTAAAGGTTTCTCCTTAACATTATGTTTAGTCATGTCCAACTCTGAGGGGTGGTGCTCATCTCAATTTCTAAGCCGAAGAACCAGCGTTGTCCTTAGACGCCTCCAAGGTCATGTGGCCGGCATGACTACATGGAGCGTCATTACCTTCCTGCCAAAGTGGTACCAATTGATCTACTCACATTTGCATGTTTTCAAACTTCTAGGTTGGCAGAAGCTGGGGCTAAAAGTGGGAACTCACCCCACTCCTCGGATTTGAACCGCCAACCTTTCGGTCAGCAAGTTCAACATCTCAGTGGTTTAACCTGCTGTGTCACTGGGGGCTCCTTGGCCTTATAGGAAAGCCAATTATCCCACCTAGATCCAACGTGAGAACCGAGTGTGATGTTAGAAGAGGTCTCTTCCTCCACTGGAAGCGTCAATTGTATGCTTGTTCAATGCTTTCATATATATATACATAGAAAGGGGGAGTTGGATTCTTTCCAGATTTCTTTTCTAATTTCTAATCCAAAATTGCTAAAAGCAGACCTTCTTTCTTTCTGTTTCTCTTCCAGCTGAATTTTTATTCCTCTTGTGGGGTGTTTATCTCTGCTATGCAGTGCGGACAGTACCCTCGGCGTTTCACGAGCCACGTTATATGGCTGTTGCAGTTCACATTGAGCTCATTATATCTGCTGTATTCCACACAATTAGGCAAGTGACCTGTACTGGCCCTCACTTCTGAACTGTCTGCTTTCAAGTTTCTTCCCATGGTGCAAGTTAAAAAGTTTAATTGCTATAAAATGCATATTGGAATGCCTTCTGGCGAAGTGTTCCTTCTGCAAAGTAATAAGTTCTTTAACAAGATTCTTGAGGAATATGTGTTTTCTGCCCATTAATTAGGGCTTTCTTATAGTGGGTTTGTGAGCCAGAATGGTGTGGTGGTTTGAGTATTGGACTAGAACTCTGAGAGACTAGAGTTTGAGTTGCCATTTGGCCATGGAAACTCACTGAGTGAACGTCTCAGAAATGTCACCTGGCCATATATGTTAAAGGCAGTGGGAAATAGCACAGAAAAGGTGGATTTTCTATGGCTCTTAGTCATTGGACAATGACAGCAAAGAATTCCAGTCTTGGTTACAACCGAAAATAGAGATACAGCAAACCAAGACCAGGCAATTTTAGATCCAGGAGTCATATTACTTCTTCCCTAACCATAGGTGCTCCATAACTGCCCAGATTCAATAGTAGATTCTGGGAACTGTAGGAGAAAAGGAACTTGGTCAAGGTGTTGCACATCTCATATCAAACAAGGCAGGTTTCCATTGCATTGGGAACTGAATGCCGAGGTTGTTCTTCATACTCAACCCACATTTGCAAACTCTGTGTTCACATTAGCTCTCTCACGTGTGTCTGAAGAGAAAGTGTGTGGGTGAGTCTGTGTGCTCAGGGAAAGCTGAACAATATTGTAGTATTTAATAGAGTAATATAAGACTAACATATTTAATTTGGGAGAGGGTTCTTTAGAAAGGTTGTCAAGAATGTTAAGAACCTGACATTCATTGCGGGGGAAGAGAGGGGAGGAAGATATATTTGCCAACCTTGTGTGAATTCTATTTTCAGGTTTAGTCTTGCCTCAAGACTGCAGTCTGATTGGATGCTGATGCTGTTCTTTGCACACACACACTTGACTGTGACAGTCACCGTTGGGTTACTTCTGGTCCCGAAGGTATTCTTTCTCCATCATTTTTCTTGCCAAGTCTTTCAGTTTATCTCACCCCTTAGTGGAGATTAGCCTCACTGTTAATCCCACCCGAGTTTTCTCACTAGACACAGTATTCTATCTATCTATCTATCTATCTATCTATCTATCTATCTATCTATCTATCTATCTATTTATCTATCTATCTCACCCATGGGTTTTACAATTTTTACCCTTTGCATCTGGCCTAGCTTGCCCTTATTTAACTCTTTTATCATTTCATAATTTGCTTTATTATGTTATTGTCACTATTTTATTGTATTATGTTATTGTTAAGTATTTTTATTTGATGTTATCATCTGTTTTGTATGCATTTAATTTTACCTTATTGTAATTGCTTGAGTTTGGCCTCATGTTAGCTGCCCCGAGTCCCTTCGGGGAGAAGATTATTATTATTATTATTATTATTATTATTATTATTATTATTATTATTTTACTGAGACAAAAGCACAGTATGTCACAGCAAACGAGATCTATATGCTGGATTTCATATAAAAAAATCACAAGTCGAACAATTCCCAAGCATCTAGGACTGTGTGATGTATTTTCGAATGATGCACACAGATGCAAGTAAGGTGGCCTTTTGCAGTTGACAGATCATGATTATGTTAATGTTTATTATTTCCAAATGCTGGTGGAGATCTTTTGGCATGGCACCCAGTGTGCCAGTGACCACTGGGACCACCTATACTGGTTTATGCCAAAGCCTTTGCAGTTCAATTTTTAGGTCTTGATAGCAGCAGAGTTTTTCCTGTTATTTTTCCTCAATGCGACTGTCACCTGGTATTGTTGTTGTTGTTATTATTATTATTATTATTATTATTATTATTATTATTATTACAGAACAACTCAATGTTATAATGGGGAACTGTGACTAGAACCACTGTTGTTTTTTAAATTCATTTTTTTGCACAGATAAGATAGGAACAACTGCCGTGAGGATTGTGTAACCCCTTTCTCTATGCTGTTCCTACAATCTAAATCACCCACTCAAATTACTCTGGGATCCATAAGGAGAAAAATAAAGGGAACCCCTGCAATGATGCTGCTCTAATCTAATCTGAAACGCCTAGAGTTTATATTAAGACATCCTGCTGATATCACCCACTTATTATGAACTTTGGTTCTTTACATTATTAATATAACTTAGCAGCAATTGTCCTTGTTGAATAAGGTAGCCACCTTAGAGAAATCTGTGGTTTTAAGAAATGCTTAGGCTAATATACAAGCTCTTTGAAATGGGCAAGGAAATAGGCAGGACAATTCTTGATTCACTACCATGCCAAAACTCTAATACGTAAGGATCCTAGAATTGAAATTTCATAAAGCAACTAATCTATGAACTTTGGACTAAATCTAGTGTTAACCCCACTTAGAATAAACACATTGAAATCAACTAAATTTTAATTAGTTGACTGACAAATGTTAGGTAGAAGATGGATCCACTGTTTGCTCCTGCTCCAGAAATTAGAACACAAACCAACAGAGTCAAATAACAAGAAAAGAGATTCTTCCATAACCACTAGGAGAAATCTTTATTACCATAATAAGCTGTTCAACCATGAAATAGATCACCTTGGATGATGGTAAATGGACATATTTTAGAAGTGTTCAATTAGATATTTGTGCATGGCAGAGGATTGAACTTGATGGTCTTTGTGATCCTTCCCAACTCCAACATTCTATGATTCTATACAGGGGCGGCTCAACCCATTACGCAAAGTAAGCATTTGCAGTATAGTTGATTTTGCCCAGGGGCGCTCTTGAGGCGCTCTTGGGGAGAAAATAGACCTTGACATATGCGAGTTGTAGTTACTGGGATGTATAGTTCACCTACAATCAAAGAGCATTCTGAACTCCACCAATGATGGAATTGAACCAAATATGGCACACAGAACTCCCTCGACGAACAGAAAATATATATCAGTGATTGCTTGGGGGGAAGGGGTGCCAAAATACTGTTTGCTTACCACTGAAAATTACCTAGGGCCGCCTCTGATTCTATATAATAATAATAATAATAATAATAATAATAATAATAATAATAATAATAGTCTTTTATTTGTATACCATTCTATCTTCTTGAGGGGGACTCAGGTCGGTTTCCAGCATAGGGAAATCATTGCAATTACCAACAAAAAACATTCAAAATAATCATTATAAAACATAGACATAATACTATATAACTGTCATACCTATTTAAAATTAAAAGCTAGTTCAGTACTAATTTCCACGAGGCAAGTTGAGTTTCCAATGGCCAGAATTCTAGAGTGAGCCTCGATGACTACGAGAGGGCTAGGTTAGTATAATGAAGTAGACTAAGGCTATATGATTATACAACTCTTATTCATTTGCTCTAACTCTAGGTAGGACCGATAGATTTATCCCTTGGTGTTTGGGTGAATCACCAATTTTCAAGCAATTTATGTGCTAAGAATGGTCTTGTTGAGAGTGTACTTTGCAGACACAGGCATAAAATAATAGAAATCTCTCCACATTCCATGATTTCTCATACACGCAAGCTGTAGCCTCAGTTAAATAGGCATAAAATAGTGTAGTAGACTTAAGGAATATTTCAAATTAAAACCCTACATAAAACTAGACCGGTCTTCTGAATATTTTTCAGGTTACAATTCTTAACTTCTGTGAGCCCAAGTAGATGTTCATATTAAAGCTATTAAATTGCAGTTAATTTGCTAGTAAAGTACTATTAATTTATGAATGATTGGTTTCTTTAATTCTATCACATTACATTTTACTTAAGTGCCAACCCCTCCCTATCTGAAGCAACCACAACCACCTCCTCCTCCTTCTCCTCCTTTATTTATTTATTTGTATCCTACTTGTTTCCCATTAGTGGAACCCAAAGTGGTAAACTTTTTATTGGGTGATAGGACAGAATAATGTCTATATTTTTTCACCTTAGTTTTATGCAAATAAAAGTGTTAAAGACAGACTTTTTTTTAAAAAAAGACATGAAATGTGAGCACTTAGCTAAAATGACTTAATTAGTGTAATTGCGTTTGCCCCAATGCCTCCTCCCCTAGCTATGTCCTTGCGTCAGCCTACCAAGAAAGCGTTTTTGTGTCCCATGATGTCAAAAAGAAATAAGAAAATGTCTGTCTTTTTCATGTTGTTTATAACATTGATCAAATTGTTTACTTTGAAACATCATTTCTCATTTGTCTTCCAGTTTTCCCATTCAAGCAATAACCCAAGAGATGATATAGCTACTGAAGCATATGAAGATGAGCTTGACATGGGAAGATCTGGATCTTATCTGAACAGCAGTATCAATTCAGCTTGGAGTGAGCATAGTTTGGACCCAGAAGATATTAGGGTATGTGTTGACCTTCAAAAGTACCTATCTTTTTAAATAGACAGTACACCTTAATTTTTACTAAATTAAGAAAATTGTCTATTTTGACCAATTCAGTTTTCATAGTTGCCAGCTTTATTCCTAATGAAAGAGAGTAAAAAGTATAATAAAAACAGTTGTATGAGAGCAGGGACATGAAAAGAATGACTAGTTGTTGAGATTTTAGTTGAGAGATGTCAATACAACAGTGTTTGTAGTGATATAAGTGTCGGATTAGGACTCCGGAACATGAGGGTTCAAATCCCCATTTATCCACAATAACACATTAGACTTGGGTAATTCAAACATCTCCAGCCTCAGAGGAAGGCAATGGCAATCCACCTCTGAACAACTTGCCTAGGAAAACATTGTGATAGGTTAATATTAGGGCCAGCCTAAATTAGAAATTATTTGAAGGCACACAAAAACATCAATAACACCAATAAGGCCATCAAAAGAAAAAGAACTCATATCCACAATGATTTATTTATTTATTATTTACTATACTTGTATACCGCTTTTCTCAGGCTATTGGCGACTCAAGGCGGTTTACAACAAGTCAGTACACATAATATCAAAATCAAATTAAACATGAAAAACAATATAAAACCACAACAGAAACAATAAACCCAACATCATTAGCGTCTCCTAGTTAAAAATATAGTCCAATTCCATTGTCAAGTGATTTCTTTTCCTATGAGAACAATGAGAACAAGAGACCAACGTTGTTTTTTTTATTATTATTTTGTTCCAAAATATTGCCTTTTACTTTTGTGAAGCAAAGCATAAACACAAATACAGATCGGATCTTACAACGGCAGCTAAAGTAGAACCATTATGTGAACAGATAGCCCTTAGAATCCACTGAGATTTGGTTTCAAGACACCCTCCCCATGGTTACCAAAATGTTTACACCTTATTTTATTTTTCTGGCTATTTAACATTTAATGTTTATTTTACTTAAGTGACATTTGCTTTTACTGTTCTAATGTAGCACAGATCCTATGTAAAATCATACTACGTATTTTTCACATTAATAGTGAAATCTGAAATATATACAGAAAGTCTTATTATATACAGTATTATTATGTATATTATGTCCATTATATACAGTGCATAGTAAAATTACAACCCTTTTGTGAAATTTCAAAATCAAGTCTTCTTTTTTAGATTGTTTTGGTTTGGAATATTTTCAAGCCATGATTTATTGAATATGTGGCTACAAAATCCATAGAAACAAAGGCGTGTCTGTACGTGAAAGGGCCTCGTTGAATCCTGGTTTCATTTGATTGGAAAAACAAAGCCTTCAGGAGAAAGAACCAAGACCGTCCTGTGTTATTCTGATTCAGCCAAAATGTCCTTCATCTCGGAGAGAAGATTTGTATTTAATTTTCTCACTGCCCAAACCCAAGACTTGGAAAAAATCCCTTTTTAGTGTGCAGGTTCTAGAATTCCAAAGAGAGGTTCAGCCTACTTCCAGATGTCCCACTCTGGATTTGATTGAATCCGTATAGTTCTTAATGGTTTTGTTTTTTCCTCTGCAGGACGAACTGAAGAAGTTGTATGCTCAGCTGGAGATCTATAAAAGGAAAAAGATGATAACCAACAATCCACACCTCCAAAAAAAGAGATGTTCCAAAAAGGGCTTGGGCCGTTCAATTATGCGAAGAATTACTGAAATCCCAGAGACAGTCACCAGACAGTGCTCGAGGGAAGAAAAGGACCTTCTGGAGCATGGGGTTTCAAAGAATCCTGCCACAACAAAGAAGAACCCACCAGATTCAAGTGGGCACATCAAGCCAAAGGAGGAATCACTGAGAAACAGAGTCTTCTCATTGAAAAAGTCTCACAGCACTTATGACCATGTCCGAGACCCAACAGAAGAGTCAAAAACCTTAACTACAGAAAGCGTTGAAGTCATAACAGCTACGGAGAACTCCCTGCTGGATTCTCTCCCAGGGAAAAAACCTACCAAAAAAGCAGCAGATAAAAATGAAGCTGTGTCCACTGAAAATGTCCCTTTAGTGTGTAAATCAGTGAGTGCCCACAATTTAAGTGCAGATAAGAAACCCCTCCACCCGAGAACGTCTGTGTTACAGAAATCACTTAGTGTTATTGCTAGTGCCAAAGAGAAAACACTGGGGTTAGCAGGGAAAGCGCAAAATGAAGAAAGCAGTAAATCCCACAAGTCTCAACAAAAGGGCAAAGAGATGAGCAAAAAGCATTCGGGCTCGGAGAAAAATGACTCTAAAGATTCCCATCGGAAAAACTCTGCCCATACAGAAGAAACAAGAAAGCCTCATAAATCAGGGATAATGAAGCAACAGAGGTCCAACCAGACCTCTGGAAATCCTGATGCAGGAGCAGGTAAATCACAGCAGAAGAACACTGTTGATATAGGAGAAGTTTGCCCGTGGGAGATATATGACCAAAGTCCAGGGGCTGGAGCATCTGATTCTAAAAAGCATGTCTCCATTGCTTCTGCTGAATCCGAAAAACTTCAAGCAAAGGGCAAAGCTTCTGAAGGTCCTCAGCTACCCATTCAAAAGAGCACAGATAGATGTCAAGTTTGCCCTTGGGAAAGTCAAGAATTGGCGGAAGAGCAGAAAAAACTGAGCCCCAAGTCTCAACAGGAAACTCCTCTGCTCAAAAGTCAAAATCTTAATAAACATTATGTCACAGATGTTTGCGGTGAAGATCCCAAGGAACAGATCAAAAAGACCACCGCACAAACCACAGAAAAAGGTTTTCTCAATAAACTGAATGATCAGACCAAAAGTACATCCTCTTCTCCAGCGGGGAAAATGCCTCCCTCTGATTCAAGTAGGTCAGCAACTAGTAACTCACAGAAACCTTTAACATCTCGGGTAGACGTCTGCCCCTGGGAATATGAGGCACCAGAGTTACCAGTAGTGGAAACAAGTATAGCTTTATCCAATGCAACCAGTTTAAGCTCAAACAAAACAGCCACAGATCAGAAATAAGAGGACTTAGACTGTCAAAAGAGAAGTGACAGAGAGTGGAAAAGAAGGGAAAAGGTCAGAAGGATCTGCAAGTTCCAAAGAAGCATCACTTGACCAAGCGATGAGCATGCTGAACATGTAGGAACTAGGCAAAGTCAGTTGTATCTTGTTTGTCTGAGTATCATTGAGTGCCAACAGTGTTATCAGTGCGATCCAGGCCTACTACAGCTCCTTCTCCTAGTCCCTAAAGAGTTTACATTCCAGAGGATGAAAATATGCCTTTAGAATTTTATTTTATTATTTTTGCAAAATGTATGGGCTTGGCAAGTAGAATACTTTAAAGTACTAGAAATGAAGTGTAATTATTACTAGAGGCCCTACATTGGTTGCAAGTGGGCATAAATTCAGCAAATATCAGAACATCAAATGGAGTTGTTCTAAAAAATCTTGAATCAGATGCATAATACCAGTGAGACTTTGGGCAAACAGATACCTAGGATAACTTAGGTACCAATGAGCAACTTCCAGAAACAAAAATGATGACTTTTCAGTTACCTTTATCTCTGTCCTTGATGGCACTGCTAACGTAATTGCATCCCCCCATTATATTTTTATATGATTGCTCTCATTTTTCTTATAAATGTGCATACTGTTTTGTCTCATATTAAAGCATTCCAAATAACTTTGATATAATTATGTGGTACAACAAATTTATGCAATCTACAATATCTATCTATCTAATGTTGCAATTCTTTTTTTAAAAGCAGCTCTAGTCTTTTGTTTATTTCTAGGGTGTATTGCAAGCTCAAACTGGCTCATGAAGCCATTAAGGAAAACATCGTTTGTTTTCACCCTGTTGTGATTTCTGCTGTGGATTTGTTGTTTTACTCTGTTAGGTTCAATTATTATTTAATACTGTATGATTCAGGGTTTTTATACGAGGTATGTTTCTTGCTTGCACTTGTCCATTTATGATCTTTACTAGCAGAAGCTGTCCCCATAGGGAGATGCACTTCTGATCATCATGATAGTATTTCTATAGAAAGCAGGCACTGTTCAAAAATAAGTCTGAGAACAACATAACTGTTGTTTCTCAGAAGACATGTTTAGCATTCCAGAAGTACTGCTTTAATAATTCCTCATCATGATTTTGCTCAGTTTTACACTGAGCGCACTAGAAAGGAAGAAAAATGTCAAATGGTAGAAAATATATTCTCATGAGTGTGTGTGTAGCTTTTTTTAATGTTGTCAGAATTCATTTTAGGAAGAGGAATGAACTTGAGAGGCCTTGTTTATCACATTGTTAAGCTTCACAGATCAGAAAGTGAGGGGACCTCCCTGACTTTAGCTATACCTATTAAGAAAGTGAGTGATAGGAAAATCAAGGCAGGGAATTTCCATTTTTGATGCGTCACTTGCTGAGAATTTGTACAGCCAGATCCTATGCATGTTTACTCAGAAACTAGCCCTGCTGAGTTCAGTAGAGCTTGCTTCTAAGTAAATTTGTAGATTAAGGATTGCAGCCTTAATCTGCTGAATGTTTTGTAATCCTTATTATTAATCATTTTATAGCACTTTTAATGTTGACAAATACCTTACAGTCTACCTTATCTCCATATCCCGTCCCTTTGCTGATCATGGTTGCCAGTGTTTGACCTAGATATTGTCATTCTTGCTTTAACACCAGGTCTGTCAGGCAGCATTCTGGAAACATGCCCCTAGTTTCAATGCTACAGTTGCCCAGCCATTCGTTTTGCTATATTGTTACTAGCAGGGCTCCAGCTTTGCCTTATAAAGGGTGGGTGGGTGGTGGTTGAATGGTGACGGATCCTGTCGTTGTCAATTTCACTACATCAGTGTTTCCCAACCTTTGGGCCTCCAGGTATTTTGGACTTCAGCTCCTACAGTTCCTAACAGCTGGTAAGCTAGCTGGGATTTCTGGAAGTCCAAAACACCTGGAGGCCCAAAGGTTGGGAACCATTGCACTACATACTATTGATAGGAAGTTCCTTGAGCAGTATGAAGGAAGTTCTGGGACAATGCAACCAGGTTTGCTTTATTTTAGATGAGAAAACAAGGTGTTCCATCTGGATTTGCAAGGAATATGTGAATGAAAAGAATCACCCTCTTCAAGGCAGAGGATTTCCCAACGACCAAAGCTGCACTATATGTGCCAGCTAATTTATTTGCAGACTCTCAAACATAACTGTGCATCTCTCCATGCACCACTGGAGCAGGAAGGGCATCACTTTATCACATGCTTAGTAGATATCTCGGTTGAACCCATAGATGCATTCCTTTCAGGAAACTCTGTCTCGAAACCACATGCCAACCAGAAGTTTATTTATTACAGTTTCCTGAATCCTACAGTCAGTATAGCTACTGATGATGTTGGCAGAGGTAAAGTCCATTCAAATAATTTCCTTAGCTTTGTCGTAGCCATCACTACCTACAGTTGAAAAACCCAGCTGCAATTCAAGACTGTGAACTAGTTTTCCCACCCAACAGGATGAGCATTCAAGTGATACATAATTTAGAAAGATAAAGAGCTGACATCACATTTTATCTCTTTGCCCCATCTTTTTTGTAATTTTGAGAGAAAATAATGTATAGCCTGTTGTTATTATTATCTGCATCATGGTTCTCTGCTCATGGCTAGTTATGAGTGATGTAAAGTTGAAAGGGAATTCACAGTGCAGTGTTATGTATTTCATAATGTACTTCCTGAGATATAATTGAGGAGAGGGAAGGCCACTTAGCCTTCCTTGAGATCTCCTTTAGATAGGACCAGCCCTCCTATTTAGTGGAGAGAGCAGCTGACTGAGATGTTGTGAGATGGTTGGTATGGGAAAATACAACTGGGCATAATGCATGGTCTTTTTTGTACCCCATAAGTTAAACTGCTGCTTTCAAATACACTGAAAGAAGTGTTGAAGTTATATTAAACCAGTGCCTGAATAAGCTACCATTTTAGACTGTAACTCTCAAAATCCTCCCAGATTTGCCAAGTGTCCTTTGCAATAAGGAACATCTTTTATTTGTGGGCCAGAAAGCTTTTCCCTTACAGAACTAGCAGCACTGCCTTATTACACTGTATTTGAAGGCTGGGAAGCTTTTCTTTTATTACTATTTTGTGAACCTCATAACATCAAATTTATCAGCTGGCATGGCCATTTATCTACATGGTTTTGAGAGTTATAATCCAAAGAAATGACTGTTTTCAATGTTTGAATTTAACTGCCCATGTGGTCAATTTATGGAATACCTGGTGGGTGTGTTTTGTCATTTGTCTCAGGAAGCAAAAGGTGATGGGGCAGTCCAGATTTGATCCTTCACTTATGGCCTCTTTACACTAGAGATAAAATCCACTTAAAATCTGGTTTCTGCCTCCTGCAGAATTCTGGATTTGTAGTTTAGGGAGAAGCTTTTAACAGCCTCATTAAACTGCAAACCCCAGAATTCTGCAAGAGGCAGAAACCGGATTTAAAATGGATTCATTCTCTAATGTAATGAACCCCTTAGAGTTGTTAAAAGCAACATCTAAAGTACTGACAACATACCAAAAATGAAAGCTAGTATTCAGTATTGCAGTTACAGATTTGTAACCTAGAGAAACAAATTCATAACATAATACTACTGTTTACATATGTAAATACTATCCCAGACCACCATAACAGCTAGCCATCAGGTCAGCTGAAGAAAGTCTATTCAGTTGACAATCTGAAGATGATTCCACTCTTCTTCTACAATCAAGTGCAGATGTGACAATCAGAAGCAGACCTTTGTCACAAGTTTACCTTTACTAATAGGAAGTTAAATAGATCTCCAACTGCCTCTTAAGACTGGTTGAGAGTAGGATCAGGCTGAGAGACATTACTCAATTATGTATCTATGCACTGGGCAACTCAACTGTTTCTCATTTAATCCTCACTGAATTAGGTAGCTGTTTAGTAGGTCATAGAATGATCTAATGTAGGGGTTCCCAACCTTTGGTCCTCCAGTTGTTTTGGACTTCAATTCTCAGAAATCCCAACCAGCTTACCAGCTGTTAGGAATTGTGGGAGCTGAAGCCCAAAGCATCTGGAGAACCAAAGATCGCGAACCATTGATCTAATGCAAATGATGCAGTTCTGATGTTGAAACTAAATAGGTATAGCTGTGGAAGCTACCCAGATTGGAAATATCTTGGAAAAAAAATTAGAGGCTGCTTTAATTTTCTTAGAAAATAAGTGTTCTAATCTGAATAAGTGTAAGTTGGTGGTTTCCCCATAGAGAATCTGTTCCAAGTTTAGTCAGAACATTAGAGGAGCTGTCTTAAATGCTAAAACTTAGTCCACAAATTGATGGCAGCTTGAATGGCAGCTTGGGTCTCCCCTCCCTCATGCATTGCTTTAAATGTATTTTACCTCCCTTTGAATGATTAATAAATGAGACGGTGTGATCATAGTTTACCCAAAAGTTGTGAATACCTATCTGAGAGTTGCCCAAAATGTGATATTCCAGTTCATCAAAATATATTGTCCAAAATGAATTATACGTCAGTTTGTCAAAACTGCCCTCCAGGACATCAGCTCCTGTTATCCCTAAACAATGCCATGTTGGAGATGATCTGCACTGGAATCAAACAGAACCTTGACAGCAAAAGGTTTTCCATTGTTGTCACCACAAAATCTGTTTGTTTGCATAAAAGAACATGCCCTCAGTTCAGTTCTGTCTATTGCAATGAATGGGAGAAGATACAGTATTCTGAGCTTCAGCATTCAAAATAGATTAACTACAGAACTCAGCATTATATGCTGCTAGGAATTATATTAATCAGCACCTTTATCCCATGGTTCAGGCAAGGCAGTTTCATGGAGTGGGGGTTATGCACAGAACAAATATAGAGGAGATGAGGGTTATGTAGTGGAGATTCTTCCCAGCAGGTCTACTGCACAGTGGAGGCGTCAATGTCTTTGAGACTCTAGTTCATAAGGAAAAGATCAGTCTTGGAAATCTTTGATCATGGGTTCTAATCCAGAGCATGCAACACAACAAGGTATTCATGGTGAAGGATAGGACATTAGAAAGTTGCTGTTTTGGATCACAACTCCCAATGCTCCCCAGTCATCGTGGCCACTGCGAGTTGCACCCCTCAAAGATAAGTTTTCCATTATTCTTCAGAAGAGCAATTTGGAAATAGACATGAAGCTAATTTGCAGGATGTATATGTGGATATTCATATATAGCTAAATGGCAGTATGTCTTCTTCTTCACACCCCTCTCACTGAACTATGCATGCTTGCTTGGATTATCAGTAGTCACCAGGACTGTTGTACACTAACAGTTGGATCCAGACTTATGTGCTGACTTGCAGATATCATTTGTGACATACATCTGTCATGGGGCTATACCAAGCATGATCAAAGCTTGGCGACTTACACTTGTGTAAACCAGGAGTTATACAAACTTAAGTCCTTTCACCAACATTGTATAACAAGCTATGAAGTACATCATTGTGTGATCATTTCCCCCAAGCTGGGAAACAGCTGTCAGACAGTGTCCAGGTACAGTTCTGTACCTATGTCCTCAATGGTTATTGATTGGCCCAGATGGTCTTCTGAGAGAGCTCCCTAGCATTGTAACCCAGCTGACTACATTCACCTTGTGGATCTCTCAGATATCCTGCCTA